CAATAATAATATAATTGTTTTCTTGTAGTGGGCAGGAAATTAGATCACACCAAAAGCAAGTTGTTAATATTAAAATATTTTTATGATAAATTACTTGAAAATTCATTTATTGTAATTTGTTAACATTTTATCAGCTACATCTCTTTTCATTTCTGCTGAGTAACTAGAAACCCAATTACATATAGTTTCTACCTTAGGAATTTCATTATGAGAAAATTGGGTATTATGAACAGATTCTTCAATAAGTTCTTTATACATATCCTCTGGTGTAAACTTTTGGATCTTATCATAATAATATGAAGCAAAAATTTTCTACTATTTAGTTCAGTTAGAATTGTCATGCCTAAACAAATAGGATAAAATTCTGAGCCATTTTCAGTAGAAATTTCATGCCACCAGTGATGAGCAAAAGGTCCATAGTGTAAATTAAAGCCAATTATTCCTTGAGATGCAAGTGTTGGTGAAACTTCTTTATGTTTAAACATTTAAATAGAAATTTTATATTTATACAATATGCACAAAAAAATTTTTTAATATATGAATGCAGTTAGCTATAAAGTCGATTTGATATAAAAGTATGTTTGATATAAAAAATAAAATTTGAGATATGAAAGAATAATAAAGATTTATATCGATGTGTCTGGATTCAGAAAATGTGACTTTTTATTAATAGTTATTGGGCAAACAGCACTATTAAGCTATTTTTGGTTGCTTTGTTATTTTAGGCACAAAATGACGTCAATATGATCGATATACTATTTATACAACATTTCTATAAGATATAACTAAATCATATAATTAAACTTTAATAAACAGTGACGTTTGAAAGAATAGCTTAATAGTGATTGCCCGATAACATCAATATTAGGCATGCGATGGACAATTTCAGTGACATCCAGGATGTCATGATATTGGCCGTTGCGCGCCCAATATCTCATACATATTAACCCCGTTTTTTTATTATTAAAGAATGTGCTGATCATCTATTTCTATCATGTATCATGAATTAATATAGTTGGCTTGGTCTAAAGACCTCCTAAATTTTGGGCAAATTTTAAAAGTATTGAAGTCATTTTCTGTCCTACCTTTTAAAAAAATAGCTCTATTAGTTGATAGAATGTGTCTTTAGTTTTAATGTTATAGAGTTCTATTCTTTTTTAAAACATGTACTTTACTATGAGAAATTTGAGCACTATGATCATTGCTAAATTTCTACTCGTTTTGATCATCATTACTAAATTTGACAATAAGGAAAATAAAATTTTAACCAAAATCACATGAAGCCCTTTTGCATTTTTGAACAAATCACGAAATCGCAATTTTTGAAATTTGAGGCATGGCGCAGCAATAGGAGGTCTTTAGACTGAGCCAACCATAGAGAAACAAACATCTCACTTCGAACTATTAATTCTATATTAAAAAATAAAGGAAACTTGGTAGCATTGAACATAAAAAGGTGGTGGTTGTCTAAAAAAATTACCAGTAGAACATCAATTGCAATTGGCCAGTATTTAAGACGGGATCCTCTCTCTCTTCTCAAAAACTTGAAGTTAAATTGGCTGAAAAAGGTATTGGTGTGTCTTATAGAACCATCTCAAAGCATCTGGGCAGCTTGGGTTATAAGAACGACTTGTCATTAGCAACCCCAATGCTACCAGTGCACATAAAGAAAGACTAGAATAAGACCCTTTTTTTCAGATGAAACAGTATTCCAGTTATTCAGGAACACCATAAAACAATGATATAAAGGCACATGATCAATTCATCCTATTCCAAAAAATTGTGTAAAAATTTTCACCTGGGGTGGATTTTGTATGAAAGGAAAAACAAGCCTTTTCTGCTTTCAGCAAATAATGACTGGACCTTATTATGTTGAAATATTTCAGAGGCACTTACCTGAGGTTCAATAAATGCTTGGACATGTCTGGTGCTTTCAGCAAGACAATGATCCTAAGCATACTAGTCACGTAGCCAAGGAATTTCTTCAGGCCAATGTGCCTGAGGTTATTAACTTGCCACCCAATAGTCCTGACCTCAACCCCATAGAGAACCTGTGGAATATCATCAAGAGCAATGTGGAAAGATGGCAACTAAAAAATCTTGATGATTTGAAATGTTTTATGATTGAGGAGTGGGAGAGTATTCCAGATTCTGTTATAAAAAATTTAATTGAATCAATGAGGAAACATTGTGGAGCAGTTATTGAATGAGATGGTGAACAAATATCTTATTAAATTTTTTTAATAAAATTTACATGTTTTATAGATTTAAATGAGCCATTTTATGAATGATTTACTTTAATGGTTGCTGAGTTATTGCAAATTTACAGAGGGAAAGTTTTTCTTCCCATACTGTAATTACAATGATGATGTCTGCCCTTTATACAATTTTTCATATGTGAGTGATGATGAAATAATGTAAATGATAGATTGGTTCATAAATCAACATATTATTCTAATTATATTCTTAAATTTTTTGTAAACTCTGGCAATTGTCTAATTGGTTCAGAGAATTCATTTATATCACAATGGAAAGGTGTAACAATATCATATTATTTCAAAAGATTGTTTTGATAATATTGATAATTCATATATTGATAAACATCAAATTTCCAGACAACCTTTTAAAGAAATGTTATATGTGATGATCAACAAGTTTTATTATTTCAACAAATTTGGAAAGGAAATATTAAAGAGAGCATTAAATAATAATAATAGTATTATAGTAGAAAAAGTATTTGATTCTTGTCTTGGTTATTTTGTAAAGATACTGATTTAAATATTAGTTTATTAAAAATAATTATATTGGAATTACCAAGGCTAGAAGAAAATCATTATACTTTAATATCAAAATTCTTTAGTCAGACTTCAATGATATTATTTCCATTTGAGAGATATTCTTGGGATATGGAAACTTTTATAATGCTATAGAATTAAAGGATCAGTTTATAATAGCTTTTGGGATTTTTATTATAAACATAATTATATTAGAAAATTTATAAAATTTATAAATAAAAAATTAAATAATAAATCCACAAAATCAGGTGTAAGATTGGCAATTTCATACCCTGGATTACTTACTTACCTAGAATTAATATATTTGTTTTGAATTTTCTGTTTTGATGACTCCTTTTCATCAACCAATGCTCTCATATTCCAATTTATTATCCTTCGTGGGTGTTGTTAATGTATGTGCTAGTGCATATCAATAGAGGGATGGTTCGGGGGTAGTTGTTCATAGCCATCAGCACCATCACCATTATTATCATTCAACACAATTACCGCAACTATTACTACTACTGTTAATGCAGCTGTTATTATTGTTGTTGTTATCATCATTATTATTAACGAAAAAAACTTGGTCAATTGTATTAATGTCAGCTAAAAAGCAAATGAGAGAAATAAAAAAATTGAACAAATCTCTTTGGTCGTTAATATTGCTATTAATACATACATATTTAGGACCATCTTCTAAAACAAGCCACTCGACAGTCTGTATGATATTAACGATCTGAAACCTTTTTTCTTGGCCATGTTGTACGTGAAAATGAAATTATGTGAATTCGCAATTCACATATGTGAAATTCAAATTTACATGCGTGAAATTCAAATTAGCCAATCAGAATCTCACTCCACTCCATAATATTTCAATTTCACATAATTTCAATTTCACATACAACAGTCACACCACAAAATTTCTTAAATCACTTCCTGGAAATCGCAGTTCCTTTCAAAGGTTATTTTTTTCAATTAAAACATTAATTAATATTACCTCGAATATTCTTTACAACATGTAAAATCCTATATTAATCTATTGGAGAATTTCAATATATAAAGGTGCCTAATCAGATCTACTTTTTTTCATTATAAAAACTTTACTGTAAATAAACAAGTTGTATTACAAATAATAATAAGAATTTAATCAAATCATAAAACGAACATACTTTTTCCATTACTATATAAAGGTGCTCCAATCAAGGAATGAATTGAATTTGGATATTTTTTTTTTTTCATCTATTACTATAAATAGAGCAAATCCTATATATATATTAATTGTGAAAATAATTTATTGGCTAATTTCAATATTTGTTATATAAGGGTGATCTAATCAGATGAATTTGGATGAACGAAATTTTTATCGAAAAATCAATTTTTTTTAAAAAAAAAATTTATCCTTTCATACACACATTGAAAAAGTTTTTATTTATTTATTATTACAAAAAAATGGAAGAAAATAATAACTTTATCTCAAATGATAATGGAGTTGTAATAAAAATCAATGATGATAATTCCACAATTAATCCACATAATATTGATGAAATAACAAATAATATTATTGAGCTAATCAATCCACATAATGGATATGATATTGACGAAATAAAATATAGTCCCAATTTAAAGTTTTTAGTAACTCATAGTAGAAATGATTCATCTATTGTTGAATGGACCATTGACAACAATGGAACTATCCATCCAAATGATCGCTTTGAATATTCCAAAAGTGATTTTGTTGACATTTATATAAAAGATGTTTCTGATGACAAATATATAATTTTATATTACCACTATGATAAATATCATAGTAAGTAATTATTAATTAATTGATATATGTATTTTATTATTATAATAACTAAATAATAAATCATTTAAATTAATTTTTTAGAATTTCTTGATTTTACAAAAAAAAAATACAGTGACTTTATAATTAATGGTAAAATATATAATAGATATGGACATTTTGATGGTGGGAATTTTATTACAAATAATGATTTATTAATGATTGATTTATATAATAATAATATCTGCCATTTATACAATTTTTCATATGTGAGTGATGGTGACAATGATGCAAATGATAAATTGGTTCATAAATCAACATACTATTATAATAATTCTGGCAATTTTCTAATTAGTTCCAAGAATTCATTTATATCAATGTCATATCAAGATAATTATTATTTAGTATATCAACAATACACTGATATTATATTTAATAAGTATAAAACATTAATGGCAGTATATTATAACATTCATTCAATATTAGTTGTATATTCATTAGAAAACAATAAGATTATTTCTGCAAGTAAGTATCTATATATTCTTACTATTTACATATTTATTATATTAATTTATATATTTAATAAATATATTTTCTATTTTATAGCCCAATTGGAAAAAAATATTGATATGAAAAAATATTATTTCATTTATCCAACTGATCAATTAGAATATTTATTAATAATATGTTGTCATAAAAACACAAAAAGTTATAATTATAAATTAATGGATCCTTATAATCTTGATGATTGTATTGATATTACAAAGTACTTTAATGAATACCCTTTGAAAAACACAAATGAAAATATTTTATTTGGACCAATTTTATCACATGATAAAATAGCTATAGTTATAGGCAATAAATTCAATAAATTATGCATTAAAAAAATAATTAATAAAGAAAAATTAGATGGCATTCAACAAAAAAT